AAATAGTTTCTGACTGCTGGACTTTAACTGCTAAGTGGTCTGCCTAATTTAGGCCCGTTGGTGTGCTTTTTTGCTTTACCCATGTGGAGCAATATTTATCTCAATGCCACTCAGCAGCCAAAATTCACACAAATGGATGGTGGTATCAGGGTGCTGATTTGCTTCATAATTTTAACAGTGGATAATTTTCCCTTCAGATTTACCGGTGCCATGACCTGTGGAAGAGTCTCTGAGCCCAAAAGCTTATTTGGGTTTTCTTTCTGTATTAGCTGGTTAAAAGTCAAGTTTTCTTGCAAATATTGCTTCCCATTTCTTAGACCGTCATGGCTTAACCGAATGTTAATACCATGTCTGTATTTTTTTTTTTTTTGTACTTTTAGGTAATATCTACTTTCAATTTCATTGATGTTTCAGCTTTTCCTTCCTATATAATAAAGGATATTTTTCTGTTCCTGCTTTCTTCTGCTTGCTTTTTTGAGTCATTGGTCTGTGAACAGGGAATGAAAATTGTGTTGTTCTTCCAGTTGATCTTCTTTCTGTGTCTGCTGCTTTTGAGACTTGGTCTCTGTCCTTGGATTGTAAGAGAGTTACAGCAGTAATAAAGAGAGGTTTGGTGTTTCTTCTGGGAACTCCTTATGTTGCCTTTTTTTTTTTTTTTTCTTAGAAATTCACCTTTAATATTTCTTTAGACTATCCATGGAAAAAGACTTTTCCTGTTAGTAAAAAGCTGCTCATGGAAAAAGACTTCTCCATGGATAGTGGGTGTGCCATCTGCACTTTTACATGGGTCCTATTGGTTTGAAGAGGTGTATGGTGCCATAGGTACTCTGGAGAGCTTTTTTATTATTTCATTAATTATGAAGATTAATAAGACAAAAGTGTTCCACTTGTTTTCCCATCTGATATTGAAATACAGTTAAGAAAAAGCCTAACTGGAAAGCCAACATTTTCATTCTTGTTGATCATTCCTAGAAGTTTAAAACACCTTTTCTGGAGCATTTGTCTAGTGTGAATCTCTTTCTGAGTGTCATCAGGCAGTCTATTATCTGCTTAATCTAAATAAGCAGCAATTAGGCAAACTGTTATTGTTTCCACTCTATAGGCCTCAGGGCTTCATGGGCAAAGATGTGGCTCTCCAGATAATAGGAATAGTTAGAACTGGATCTTAGGTAGTGGAATGTGAAAAATTGCTCTTGAGATGATAGGCGATAGAAAAAAACAAACACCTAAAAAATCCCAACTGGTGGTTAACATGGAATGAAAATATTTCAAATTCCGTTTCAAGAGAAAATATCACAAGAAATTATCTTTTTACATTCAAATCCATATCCTCAAATTCAAACTATTCTCTGCTGTAGTGTTTCTTTAAATAAAATGTTTCAAAATAAAGTGCATTGCATATCAGAAAATATGATTTCTCAAGTGGGCTTTATGTTTGTTGGATGGAGAACACTCAGTATTGGCATATCAAAATAAGTTGTCAAGAAGATATCAAGCAGAAATAAGTCAGAACAAGAGTATTTCATTTACTGAAACAGAGTCATCTTCTCCCTCTTCACAGTTTAGCTCAGTCTTCCAAAGTGACCTTTCAGTTAGCTCACTGCTAGCAGAACCAAAGGATATTCATACACTCATAGAATAGTTAGGGTTGGAAAGGACCTTAAGATCACCTAGTTCCAACCCCCCTGCCATGGGTGGGAATGCCCCACCCTAGACCATGACATGGTCACACCATGACTTGGTGACACCCAAGTCTTCATCCAGACTGTCCTTGATCACTGCCAGAATGAAAGAAGAGCCTTGAATGAAAAAAAGTTTTAATTTCATCTGCCATGAATTCATTGTTCCAAGTCAGCCAAAACTCATTCTCCCTAAAGACCCAGTCCCTAATACTGGGTTTCATCAAGTCTGGATCTTCTCAGCTCCCTTTGGTCCAGTGCAAGGCCGTACTTCCTAACCTACACTATGTACTCGCAGTATTTCCCTTTGGAATATGGATCACAGGAATTAACTTGGATCAACAGCTAAGACAATAAAATGTCTCTAGAATCATTAATAATAGATATTCTCAAAAGAAGTGTTTCCTGAGGCGAAAAAAAAATACCTGAAGAAATTGAAAGTGACGCTGACATAAACAATTGTATTTAGATTTGTTACAGTAGTAACCTAAGGCACAACCTAAACATTTACAGAAATAGCTTGAATTCTACCTTTTTTTCTCAGAGAAAAAAGCTGCAGATCTAGCTGACCTACCGTCTACAAAGTATAGTCTGCTATAAAACATTAATCACCCTAATTCCATATCAAATATACGCAGTGTACAAATCAAATATGTTGTTCAGTTTTCCAAGCTGCCATCTTTAAAAAGTTATCCTGGGATCTTCTAATTAAGCTTTTCTGTGTCTATAATCTACATTATCATCACCAGTAGTGATGTTTAATGTTCTGAAGCTTGTTCCTGGTTTTGATAAAGAGATACAAGAAAGCAGAGATAAAACACATTCATCTGCTCTTTTAAAATAAAACTTTTATTAAGTGAAATCCAGGAATATGTTATTTCTATCATCATCTGGATGTATAATTGCCCATAGTGCAAATTTCATATCTTCTTTCGAAATACGTGATTCTTGACATGATTGTAGAGAGAATAGTAGATAAGATGGGGCTCTGTTTTGTCAGCCCTCCCTTTGTTCCTAAGCTAGCCACATGCTCTCCAGCCTGCAAAAAAAGAATTGGAAAGGAACCTGTACGTTTTAAGAACTGATCTATTCAAACCATACATCTAACTGTGGACAACAGTCAAGATCAAGCAAGAGTGGTTGAAAAAGGTTGTTTTTTTTTGTGAGGGCATTTTGTTTGATTTAAACAGCCCTTGCTATCCCTCTTATTCTCTCTTTCTCACCATCCCCTTAATGTGTGTGTAGCACAGCATCAAGCTGCGAACTGTATCAGGGAACTGATGCGAAGGTTAAAAAGAAACAAACTGAGAAGCATAGTAGATGGTGACGAAAAATGAAGGGCAGAAGAGGGGCTGCTTAAGCAAGCAAAACTGCCAGAAGAGATGCTTGTTAAAACATGGCTTGATGGACAGTTGATCAGGGGTTTCCAAGGTTGTGAGTTATTACATATATACCTGTTTCCCTTTGTAATTCTAGCTGTACAGGGCAAATCACTTTTGAGTTCCTCATTTACCTAAGTTATTAATTTTATTATTAATATATTTTAGGTTATTACCTTCTCAATGGTATGCAGTGTTCTCAGTTGGAGAAGTTTTAGAGTGACAGCCGTGTTTTGGATTTTGTATTAGTGAAGGAAATTATTGAGCTATTTAAATGGATCTTGTTAAAATATTATGGGCAACAAGTTGTACAGAATGAAATGAGACCTTTAATATAAACAAAATATATTAAACTTGAAATCTAATAACTGCTTTGTCTGAATATTAAGAGTGCAGTGTCCTTGCACTGACAAATCTCTTCTGCCTGATTACTGCTTCACTAAGAAAAAAACTGTGTTATTAAAAATTCCATTTAAGAACCAAAGCCAAAACATATTTTTGTTTTTTAAAACTGCAATGCATAAGACACAAAGGGTGGAGGGGGAAGCATTAGAAAGAGAATGGAATGTAACCACTTTAAAATATGGGACCAGAGGAGAAGAAGTGGTTAAAGAGAGAGAAAGGGGTAATAACAAGAGTATAGACAGCACTAAAATATCTGTAAATTAATCTTTTTCAATTAAAAGCGCATATAGTAATTGCAAATACAAACTGAATGTTTTGAACATTGCATAGATGCTGAGACAAATGCTTCTGAATTGTCTTTCTGTTCCTCCCAAATGTAATTGACAGTCCTCCTTGACATTTCAGGGCAGATATGTCCAATATAATGATGCTGCAAAGAGTTTCCTTGAAGGAAATTCAAACAACTTCTTTGTCTGTAGGTTGATGTTTGCACGTGGCTCATTCATGACACTGGAGAACTAGGTGTGGATCTGCTGGAGGTATCACCCCCAAAAGAACAGTTTTTGTTGCATGGTGTTGTGGAAGGATCAGTAATGAAAGCCTTGAAAGCCCTTCATTAATTATAAACCATCCAAAGTCTCTGTAGTTTCTAGTTCTGAGGCAATATTTTGGTTCCATAGTCTGAATTATGAAAATGGTGAACAAAATGTGAATTCTATCTTGATTTATGATGGATAAACCTTTCATAATGTACTTATTCAGCCTGCTTTTTTCTTAGACACAAGGTCTGGTAAGACTGGCTAATGCTACTGATTCTAATTGAAAAAGGAAGTTATTTACATATACGTGACAACTCTTGGGTTATAATGGGTAGGAAACCTTCTGTTTTACCACCGAAGACTATAGCAGTCATGAGATCTTCTACAAGCTTTCTCTAATTCTGAAGTGAGTAGTTAAATGTCACCTCTGGAAAGAACAGGAAACGCAACATAGTGAGTGTGCATCTAAAGCCAGATTCAGATTGAAAATTACATTAGGGACAGGAAATAAGTATCAATCTTCATTGGTAGCATCATCTTCCCTGTTTCTGTTTAAAAGATGCATTGGGGTAGCTTGCTCATGAGCTCTCTGTGATTGTCAAATTTGACCCTAAATTGCTACAGCAAAGAGTGTGTATCAGCATTATCTGTGTAAATGCCTGTTAAGTGTTGAATATTCTTAGCACTTGGTTTAGTAGTGCTCCCTCTGGAGTTTTTACTTTGTGCCAATAAACTAGACTTAGAGACATTGGCTCTGGTCCACCATTTCCGTGTTAAATGCTTAGAATTTGTAAGTGTTGTAACCCTTTTGCCAATGCAAGTAATCCCAATTCCAGCAATTTACAGTTGTCACTTTGTTTTAAGCTACGTTACTGCACACTGACATTCTACACAAAATGGCTTGGATGCCATTTAACGCATACCAAACTGGAGATAGAGGGATTTCATCCCTTATGTCATAATTAATTATTTATTGAGATTTTGCTTTCATGTTGCAGAACTGTGACCTGGCCCAGCAGAGTATCATTCATATTGTTCAGAGTCCACAGAAGAACAGTCCAAACAAGGATGAGACAGGAAATAGCTGTGCTGGAGGTATTCTAAAAGCCTTGGAAAAAGAAACTGAAAGTCTAACTCGCATAGACCTCAGTACCAGCATCCTCCCATCACTCTCTGCAGGACTGGCTGTTATTCTGGATACTACAAAACCCAGCATTTCTCTTCCCTCTGAAAAATCAGGTAAATTTCTGATTTGGTACATTCCAATACATAGACCTGAATATTTTTCTGTTGCTTTTGTAGAGTGAACAGTTCTAAACCACAGGGGGGAGGGGGGGGGGAAAGAAAAAAGAAAAAAGAAAAGAAACCAACCAATCAGCCAAACCAGCATATGGTTTATTTTAGGTATTAAACAAAAAATGCAATTTTATTAAGAGGGATAAGCACCTGATGTGTCTTCTAACAAAATAATTTTACTTTGTGGATAAACAGAGTAATAATATTTTTAATATTTTATACTATTATTTATAAAATTTATTTTAATATTTTTACAAATTTTTAGAAGCTGGCAAAACCCCCAGAAGTCTGTGGGAAGGCAAAACAAAGTCTCTGTAAAATTTCCATTACAGAAGTTTCCTTAACTAGAATGTTGAGCATCTAATGCATTGCAGATTTGCTTTATTCTTAATCTGTTGTGATGTTTTCATACCCGTACATTTTGCAAGGAAGTATTTCTATGCAATAGATTTATTATTTATAAAAACATAGATGGCACAAATTATGATGATGATTCATACTACAGATTTTAGTAGTTCTTCATCCACCCAATTATTGCTGAGAATTATCTTCTTTTCATCATGAAAAATCATCTGAGACACAAGTTACTGCAAATGGGTTGTGCTGTAATATTTGAAATTGTTCATGAGAGAGAAGCTGAAGTCAGAAGGAAATTAAGAACTTTTTAGCTATTACATGAATCTTCTCAGAGTAACTCCCTCCTCACACAGTCAAGCTAATCCTGACAACTGTGCTTCTCCCCAGTAAAGAGACCTCATTCTGTGCAATACCAGATTCTGTTGTGAATTATCATAATAGTATATCAGATATGTATTTTTTGAAAGAACAGTACACAAATATCCTTTATATACAATACAGAAGTTAATACAAACATATAGGTTCAGAACACAGGACAATTTGTGAATATGACAGAGATAACTCTTGTGACTAACCTGACCATGGAAATCATGCTTAACAAAATGGCTCTTAAAACCGTTAACGTAACTCATGCAGAAAATATACAATTTGTAGGAGGGTCACAGAAGTATTCCACAACTGACTTGATCAACCTCTTACTGCCAACTAATGATGAATGAATACAGTTTAGGAACAAATTAGTACCCAGCTTAATGATCCACATCTCCCAACCTGAATGAATAATGAGGTAAGGGAGGTAAATGCTGATTTAAATCTAGAGATGTTAAACTAAAGGCAGGGTTTCAGGCTGAGTTTATTATTGAAACCAAGGCAGTGGTTTGACTTTTTTAGTGCTACTCCTTGTTTATCTTTTCACTACTGCATGGCCAGGTTGGATGGGGCTTTGAGCAATCTGCTCTAGTGGAAGGTATCCCTGCACATGGCAGGGGGGGTTGGAACTAAATGATCTTTAAGGTCCCATACAACCCAAACCATTCTATGGTTCTATGATATGTACAGGGCTTTAATGGTTGCACTTGACTTTACAAAATAGTTTACACATGTGTAAGGCCTTTTAAAATTTGTCATGTGATACATTTTTCCACAGACTACAAACTCTGTGAAGCCAAGTACACAGTGATAGGTGTCTTCTATTGCAGCAGATATTTTCGTGGCAGAGTGACAGCTTTGGAAAAAAAATGTATTGAGAGTATATGTGCATAAGTGTTGTCCTTGATTAAGTTAAACATATTTTTTTATCATAACAAAAAAAAGAAAAGCCAATCTAATGACTGCCAGTTCCACCTGGGATGATGTTAGTAACAAGTACTTTTTAAAGGCCTGTTATCTTTTCCTTGTCTCTTTTTGACTCTCACTATGAAAACTCGTCCTTGGATCTGTTCAGTCCCACCACTTTTGTTCAATATAGAGGATTTTGATGTTTTTATTATTAAGGTTAGAGGCAGGTTAGTTTGTAGTCAGAGTTCACTGAGTTAAGAGTAGTCTGGATTAAAAATAGTCCATCCAGAATAAAAGAAAAAAAAATAAATCCAGAGATCAGTTTTCCAGTAAACTTTACCGTATAGTGTGAATTTTCTTTTGCACAGCTGAATATTAGTGGGAATGAGTGGCTGAAGTTTTCATATGCCACTAATGCTGCTTGAAATTATACTTGTCAAGCTATTGTCTTAGAAGGTAGATAGTTGTTGTGGTGATGAGTGTACAGTAGAAACCTATACAGTTGAAGCAAATATGATCTTTTTTTTTCTGTGTGTGAGAGGTTGCAAACAATGAGTAGAGGACAAATTTAAACATACAATTTAGAGTCAGAGTATTCATTCATTATTGTTTAGTCTAACATGTTGCACAGCTATTCCATAACTGTAGCAGTAAACATTGATCTCTTTCTGAAGTCCAAGTTTTTCCTGTTTGTTACCAGAGGATGCTGCTCCTGTGTCCCTGCCCTGCTTTTATTTTATTTGTCCTCCTTTGAATTCTGAGGAAAAATGTTTGTGGTAACTTTTGCATCACAAAATGTTCTCCCAGAAGGTTTTGCACCATTTGACTGCAAAAGTAACATCATTGAAGTATTGAGTTGAATGCTTGAAGGTCAAACAGTAGAATTTTACCAGACAATCCAGGAGACAGACAGCTTTTGACACTTGCATAACAAAATCTGGAATATCATGCACCATTTTAATCTCTAAGTTTCAAGAAAGCTGCTGAAAAAAAAATGTTAGAAGGTGCAGGAGAAGATTCACAAGAATTGTGCAAAAGTGCAGTTCATGGTTGGCTTATGTATGTTGTTGTAAACTTGTGACATTTATGGGAGTGGAGATCTTACAAACTTTCAGGATTTAAGCTTTCATTATCTAGAAGCTGAAAGCCAGCAAATATAAATATAACACACAGAGATTTTAATTTGCCAGGAAATCAACCACTGACACATGTTATCCGGGCTTGTAAGAATTATCTGTATTTGGCCATTGGAAAGTAAATATAGGACATTTTTCTGAAACACATGTCCAGCAAAAAAGGTTGGACTATGACCTAGAAGTAGTGTGGACTATGCTAGGCAGGAGATCAGACTACAGAATCACATTGCTTCCCTCTCTAAACGTATTTATCAATGTCCTGGGTTCAGCAGTAGCAGTCGTGTTTCTCCTTCCGCTACTGCTGAACCCAGGACAATCAAATATCAATGTCAAGCAAATCTGTGATCTAAAAAAAATATATATGTAGTTTGACAGTAGTTTGATGGCATTTGTTTTCTGTAAGCTAATAATAACGTTGTTTGTTTATGTATTTAATTTCCAGTTTAATCCATTATCAGATGCTTTGTTTTTTTTTATCTGAATTGATTAGATGTGGTCATGATTACCTTAGGTCTTTTTCTTTACAACTTTTAAAAAGGGCTTTTCTGTTGAGTTTGCTAGAATATCCTGGTGTTCTTTAGCTAGCCTTTTAAAAATGCTTGTGTGCAAGTTGCCTCTGTCTTGTTACCTTTCCATGTTTTTCTTTTCTTAGAAGAGGAAATAAGGTACTGGTATACATTGACTTTGGTGTGCCAAGCTATAAATTCTAGCAAAAAGAGGGATTGACTCTTTTCCACCTAGTTAGGAAATGCTCTACTGAAACTTAATATATGTTAAAACCACCTGTCCTTACAAATAGCACAACTATGAATTAGGGAAGGTAAAATTGTCATTACCAAAACCTCAATGCTTAAAAGCATAAAGTGATAAGCTGGTTCCCAGTCTATATCTGATATGTGAAAGACACAGGCAAAAACTTTTAGAAGGAAAAGCCACAATTTAGGGTTTGGGTACTCAAAACTGTTCATACTTGCAAGAGAAGCTCTGATGAATTAAAAAATCCAGCAAATCAATTTAATTGGGGATATTGCAGACATTGTACGAACACTTTTTGAAAAGTGTTCTGTTGACTGTGTGTTAAAATTCCTGTGCTCTGTAATTGATATTGCATTTTATTATGATTCTTTTAATGAAAAAGCCTAAAAGAATGAGACTTTTTGTGTCAGGTGTGTTTGAAGTAATTTAGTTTTCTAAACTTGTGAAGTATTTTAAAATTATTTCACAGTTTTGTAAAACTTAAAATGTCAAATAAATTACAGATAGGGCAATGGTATGGTTTGCATCTCTCCCTCCCTGTTTTTATGTGGCGTTAGGCTCAGTACCCTTACCCAGTACCAAGCTGAGTAAAACTGCAGCTTTTTTTCATCACCTTTTTGAGACTGCCGTCAAAACGTGAACGCTGATAGATCAAAAATGGCCTGCAGCACTGCAAGAACATCTCTGCTGATACACCGAGACATGAAGCTCTGTAAGTGTTCAGCAACTGCACCAGACATATCTAAGATAACAATGAAGTTATTTTTCTCATCACCTAATTTTCCTTTGCTGCATCACAAAATGAGATATCTAAGAATTTACTATTCCCTTAGAAAAGATTCTTAAGATTTCTCTGCTATCATTTGGGTGCATTTTTACATGGGAAATGAATCAGTAAAAGGCTTTGTTTCCCTTGGCATCTGTACAAATAATTTGTGGATTAATTCCCCTGTGACAGAAGTGCATGAGGGAGCACTGCACACTGTCCAGGGATTTCAAGGCTTTTTCAGAATGTGGGTCATTTTTTAATTCTCCACACATAAGGGAAGATATCCCTTAGAAACAGTTCTCCTTCCCTGAAAATATTTCTTTCCTGAAGAATCAATCAGTGATGCTGCAAGTAAGTTACTTGTGAGTTTGAGAGACAGCTACGCTTTTGTTCCTGTTTAGCTGTGGCATCTTCATCTTGAATTGACTGAATGTTGACTAGATTGGGAGTTGAGCTCAATGATCCCTTCCAACTTGAATATTCTATGATTCTATTCTGTAAATTAATTAATTAAATGCACTTTAGGTCCACAATATTGTAAATCAGTAGTCTAAGGTGGGGGGAAGGGGAGAAGGGAATCAGTATTCTGTGCAATTTGCATTTAGTATTTAGGACATTTTCCCAGAGTTATCAACATTTTGTTCTAA